GATTTCAGTGTTAAGAGGATGTCTTTTCATAACAGTATCACAGTAGGGAGTTGCACTAATTTCACTGTCATTTTCTTAGTTGATATGGTTAAATCAGTACAAAAATCTTTTGAGACTGCAGAGTTTGCAAAATTTTCTCCTTGCTGAGAAGATAAATAATTTCTTTGCATTTTTCTTCACCATAAATAATGATGGAAAGATGTGTGTCCTAGATAAAATATTTTCTAATAATAAAGATGAGGAATGAGCAGCGATTGAAGTATCAGAACAAGTGACTCAAGAAAATATGATAAAAAAAGCTGTAAGTCTCCAGGTCCAGATGATATACATCTAGTGCTTCTAAAAGAGTTCAAGTGTGAAGTAACCGAGTTTCTAGAAAAATCTGTTGCCAAATAGCTACTGTACGAAAGGATTGGAGAGTAGCAAATGTACCAATATTTTAGAAAGGCTCTAGGCAAAGAAGGTTCTTTGGGTAAATCCGATATCTTTTATTAGACCAACTCAAATAGTTGGAAAAATGTTTTGTAAGCTTTTGTGTACAAATACCTTCCATCAGATTATAGAAGCGGCTGCAGTTTGTCTGTGCTCTTCGCATTTGTTTTGGAGAATTACGGATGAATAAACTTCATATCTGTGCCTAGACAGAGAGAGGTAGAGAGATTGGTTGAAATGTCTAGTTAAAAGCATTAATAAAAGAGTTGGAAAGTCATAAAATGTTAGGGCATAACTACCACAGTTTCTGCAAAAGAAAAACATGTCTTGGTATAAAAATACTTTTAACATGTCAATAAGGTAGGGAAATAAAGGAGAACTGATGGTAATTATTTGTTTAGCCTTCCAAAAGGGCTCTTGAAAAAGTTCCTCCCAAGAGTCTAGTAAAGAAACTTGAGAAGCAAACCCTTGTCATGGATAAATAGTGGGCTCTGGCACTGGAAATAAAGTGCTGAGTTTTCATCGTGGTTAACCTCAGCGTGCCTCAAGTTTCCATATTAAGTCCAAGATAATGTAATGCATACATTGATGGCTGACAAGGAGATGAGAAGGATCAAAATTTGAAAATCATGACTAGAGGAAGACACTGAGGGATTTAAGTAAAGTATGCAAATAGGCAACCTGACAGGAGATTAGGTTCAGTGTAAATAAATACAAAGCTGTGCTGAATGGAGAGAATATTGTACAACACATAATAGGTTTCCAAATTAGCTGTACCAAATCAGGAAAGGGGCCAGCACAACATTGTGGCCAGCTAAATAAAGACTTCCAGGTACTGTGCAGCTGTGATAAAAAAGAATATTGGTTGTTAGGATGCATAGAGAATGGGGAAAAGAAAAATATGGAAAACAAATGCTATTATATAAATCGGTTATTTATGGGAATGTGGTATAGTCAGCCCATTTCAAAAAGGAAATTAAAGATTTACTGTATTCACCCAGACCCAAGATGACTTTGAATTTAAGACACCCCCCCCCCAGTAATTAGATTCTGTTATAATTTTCCATATATATAATTAATTAGTGGAAGGTCTAATTAGACCTTTCCACTGCTGTGGTGGGGAAAGAAGTGGCTGGAAGGGGGCAGGGGCCAGACCCCTACCCTTTGTTTCCCTGATCTGTGTTCTCCTGTGCCTGTCCCCACTGATGTCTGCCCCTTGCCATGTGCTCCCCCACCATATGTTCCCCTGTAGCCTGCCCCTCTGTGCCAGTGCCTGCCTCCTCCCTAGCCCCACATGGCTTTGCCTGCCCCCCTATTCCCTTCCTTCCCACCCTCTGCTCCCCCACTCCAGCCTGCTCCCCTTGCCTTCTGCTCTGGATCAAGGCTCTCAGCAGCAGCTCCACCACTGCCCAGTGCAGCCTGGCAGCTCCCAGCTGGGCAGGGTCAGGACTGGAGAGACTAGAACAGGGACAGAAGGTAAGGGGAGAAAAGGCAGCTGGGTGTAGGAGGTAGGCAGTGGGGAAAGTGGAATGTGGCAGGGCAGACTGAAGTTTACCCCTCCCTCCAGTCTCCCTGCATTGTCCCCAGCCACGTGCCCCTTACCCCACCAAAGAGCCATTCCAGCCAGGGGTAGGCAGGGGCTTGGCACTGGCTTCAGCCCCAAGGTGGCAGGGCACCAGGCACTGGTGGGGGTGGTGGGAAGGCAGAAGGGAACAGACATCCAAGGTGGGGACAGGCATGGGGAGCAAGTCTCTAGGAGGGACAAGAACCAGGAAGCAGGTTGGGGGGGGAGTGGCTGAGGGGGCAAGCAGAGCGGCAAGAGGAGGGGGTTTGCTTTACCTGCCACAATGGTAAGGAGGGCAAATTTAAGATGACCTTCCAATAATTAAATTTTATACCTGGGATATTATAACATGTATAAATTTCCATATACAGAACCTAATTTTGCAGGGGAGTCATTTTAAAGTAATCTTGGATTAATGTAAATACAGTATTTTCCCTTGGCAACATAATTAACTAGTTTAGGACTTTTGTCCAGGACTCTTTAAGAAAAGCTTAGAGGAGGATGTTGGTTCCAGAAACTTATTCCTTCAGCACTTTCTTTTAAAGATTACAGTGGTTTTCATTGTTTGGTTCAGTGTAATAAAAATATATAAAATAATGATTGGTATAGAGGTGTGAGGAATATCAAGAGCTTTGTTTTCCCATTCTCAAAACACAAAAGGGGATATATAAAATTCAAAGATGGCATATTAAAAGATGATAAAAGGCAATAAGTTTCCATATAATATGTAATTTAGTTGTGGAACTCATTGCCACCAGATCATATGGAGAGCAAGAATTTAGGGAGATTAAAAAAAAGGATTTGAAATGTATGTAGATAACAAAAGTATCTGGTGTTTTAGTTAGCAATGCTAACAACGTAAACCAAAGTCTAATGGATAGGGATTGGAATGAGACCTGTTAGTACATTTGCTTATTGTGGGGTTTCTTGCAAATTCCTCGAAAGCTTTTGGCATTGGCCATAACCAGAAAAAGGAAATTAGATTAGATGGAACATGGCGATTCAATATTGCAGTGGTATTGCTATGGGTGTGTAGGTAAGTGACAGGAACTGGTGTGAAGAATGGAAGTAGTGACTCTGGCTCACAGTACAGGGCTTGAGAAAAGAGGTCTCTAGACATAAAGGGGACATAGTTTTATAATAGAACAGGTTATCGAACAGTAAATAGTGGTGAGAAAGGAGGTTGCCTTTAACTGAGTGCCAACAATTCAATTTTCTTTGTCTCTATAAACTAGGAATGCTTTGTTTAGTTTATAAGAAGTAAGAATATGATATGTTCAACAAGCCATTTTTATTTTTCTCCAATTTGTTTCTCCAGTTATTATTAAGATATCAGTTATATGGGTAATTTCATACAGTTCATCCTCAAATAACAAACAATAAACCTTTGTAATCTTTAAGAGAAACCGCTGAGGGAATAAGTGTTTCTGAAACCAGTATAAGTTTTGGTTAAAGATGCCTGGACAAAGCAGTCCTATGTCAGCAAATCATGTATTTGTATACATGAATCATGTATTTTTAATAATTCAAGAGTAGTATAGGATTTGGATGATATGCAGTAATTATGGCATGGCACCTCACCTTATCATATCAGGATATCAGGATAAAGAGAATATTGATTAGGTTCAATACATTGATTGGGATAAGAATTTTCATGAAAAAATCGTACGTGAACATTTTAAGGGTGCCTCATACACAGTAAAACCAAATTAAATTTCCATGGGACACCTTAGCATTTCCTGTCTTTGAGGGATTTGACTTCTCCACCTTAACTTTCTTGTAGCTCTCTGGTTTTAGCAGAACTTTCCTTCCTTCCAAATATGGGACCACATTGACTTTCCTTATGGGTCATCAGCAGGCTTGGCATTTTATTTCTATGGTAATGACCCATTCTTTTGGAGAAGGCAGCGTAGGTGTACACCTTATGGACTAAATCAGAGCTACCTAGCACAAACTTTTATGAGTTTGAGCTCACTTAATCAGCTATACTAGTATGTAATATATAATAATAATATATATTTCTAATTTAGTCCATAAGGTGCAAATTTACCTTGCCTTCTGTTTGATTTCAAATGAACACCACTAATTACCTCTCCATATTCTTGGAGGCAGTAGTGTAACTCAGGGGTTTTCAACCTTTTGGAGTCAGTGTACCCCCAGCTGCTGGTTGACGAGCTGAGGGAGGGTCCCCCAGCAGCCGCTCAGTGAGCGTGCCAGTGGTGGTGACAGAAATGGCAGCTGTTCCTGCTGCTGAGTACCCCAGAGGCTTTCCCAAGTACCCCCAAGGGCACGCATACCCCAGGGTTGAAAACCCCTGGTGTAACTGATAACGGGTTATCCTGTTATCCTGTGTGGGGAACGGCCGGCACTGGGACATGACAGGCATCCTGTCAGTTGGATATACATCTATTTGCAGAGGAACACTGAGAGTCAGGAGCTGGGGGCCCACTTCCAAGGTCTGGATGGGAAAGCAGTCACAAACTTCAGTTTCCCTCCTCCATGCTCTCCTGTCTTGGACCTGCTGTTTCTTCCACCCCCAGCAAAAAGGAGGTGCTTAGCAGTGTTAGCCTGCAGCCTAGAGATGCACCGTACAGGCTGCAGACTCCCTGCAGCTTGTCTCGTGCCCATAACTCCGTTCCTCTAGCCCCTCGAGGGGCTGGGGCTGAGGCGTGCATGCTCTCCAGAGGGAGCTGTTGCTGCCCGTGGTGTGCGCGGGCCAGGCTCCGCAGGAGGGTGTTGCTGTGGGGCGGGGTTCAGGCTCTAGAGGGCGCTGTGGCTGTGGCTGCCTGCGCCCGTCTTGCAGCCACAATCGCTGCCTCTTGCATCAGCCGAGAGGGGGCGGAGGCGGAACTCCTGGAATTCACGCCCCGCCCGCGCCTCTTACTCCCACTGCGCAGCCCCGGGCCGGCCCCGCCCCCTTCCAACGGGCCGTGGCACGGCCAAGCCGGGCCTCACTGCGCAGGCGCGGGGCATTTGGCGCCAGTGCTTGAACGCTGTGGCGGAGGTGGCGGCGCGGAGGTACCGGCGGGGCCGGGCCGGGCCGGGCCGGGGCCTGGCGAGGGGGGACCCTCCGGACCATTGAGAGGAAGAGGCGGGGTCCGCAGGGAGCCGGTAGATTGCAACGAGCCTGGGGGCTCCCTAGGCTGAGGCAGCCTGGCTCTTCGCTTGGGTGCAGCAGCAACCACGGGGGTGGGGGGAGGTGCAGGTGCACCAGTGCCTCCCTCCTCCCCCAGTACCCTCCCTGAGCTCCTGTGGGGAATGAGTTCAGAATGAAACAGTGGGGCGTGGCTTTGGGCTAGTCCTTTAACAGCCACCCCTGTGTCCTTTGCAAGTATTTTAAAGCCCCTGGGGGGGTGTTATAATTGGTTTAAAGGTAGCTTTGTTTCCTTGAATGGTTTGAGATTAACCCACATACATAGGGGGAAATTTCCTGCCTACCGAGGAAACCATGAAGTGGATGAGGTGTAAAATATTTTCATTTGAAAAATGCACTTGTCTTAATTGTTTCTAACAGGCTTTAAAAAGATGGCAGTTTTAAAATTGGCATGGCAGCTGTTCAGCTTCCAGTTAGTCCAGTTTAAATTTGTATTTGGCCTGTAGCTTTGCTAACAAAACCGTGTTCTCTAGGTTTCCGCCTCATGTAGGGGAGGATAAACATCATTTATCAAGAATCGGTGTGAACGTGACTTCGGGGGAGGGGTATAACACATCATCAAAGTCTTCTGTAGCTTCCAGAAACTGTCTGGATACTGTTCTCCTGTGTTCAGAGTTCAGTTTGCATTCCCTGATTTGAAACTGTCTAAATTTTATGCTGGTTCTAATGTTCAGGTGCCTGCAGTGCAACCATAACCATGTCCTATAAAAACAGATACCAATCTCTTTGGAGTCTGTCATTGTGATTCTTTTAGCTGGCTAGAAAGGATAATACCTGGCACTAAGTGTTGCTGCTTTATTTTGCATGATGAAACAAGAAATTGGGAGTAGTGCGCAGCAGTACAATTAATAGCTGAGTATCAAAGCATTTTCATATTATTTTTCAGGTTTATTTAACGCACATTCCAGTAATGCTATGGATAATGAAATGGCTAATAAACCTGTTGGAAGATCAATTTTCTTTGAAATATTTAAAACACAATGCAGTGAATCAGGTACAGTTTTATCTTAATTTGAATAAAATAAGTAACTTTTAAGACATTGCTTATATCGGAGAGATTTTCTTGTTGCTGCATTCAGTAGATATTTGCAGTAAACTGTATCCTATTGAAGAGTTCAGTTTAACTTTATTGTCTCTCGTTTCCATATTCTTTATACGCTGTTTATTTTGCTATGCTTATGTTCCTTTTACTTAATTATTCCTTTTATCTTCGTCCTTTGTATTTCTATGAAGTTCTATTTTTGTAGTTCATTTTCTTTCATGTTTTCAATTGTCAATCAAGTTAATCCATTTAAGATTTTGAACGGATTGATTTAATATATTGTTTATAAGTTATAACCTTTACAGATGTAATTAAAACTAAAGGTCTAGCTGTAATCTATAGCAGCTTTCAGAGTGGCTCAAATCTCATAAATATTCTAATATTTAGACGTACTTACTGTTGTCATGGTCGGGTCCCTTCTATGTAAGTCAAGTCACCGTCAGGCTTTTGTGTTTTGCGGCATCAGCATTTCTGTATATCCATGAGCACTCTTAAAAATCCATTGCAACTTTCATTACAGAAGGAGTAAGACTTTATTACTATATTATAAAGTTTTGTGGCTGCAGAGTGTTGATTTTCTTTAACAAGACAAATTAAATGTCCAATAATTCAGTTACTATGTGTTATCTTGGAGGGGACATTTAAACTTACTTGATTTAAGCCCATGTTACATTTTATTTTTACATTTTACATTTGAAGAACTATATGCACTGGATCAATCAACATGTTAAGTTAAAACTGTGCTACTTTGTGTAATTGGCACAATATTTGATTAGATTTTATGTTGTTGTTTTTTTCCTCAGGAAAAAAAAAGGTGATGTAACATACTGGATATTTTTCTCTCTAGACTTAGGGCCAATAAGCCTCAACTGGTTTGAAGAACTTAGCTTAGAAGCTCCACCTTATGAATCGAAAATGTTAGAAGAACCCGAATACCAGACTGGCTGGCTTGATCAAAGTACTTTTAAAACTCCAAAGGGGAAACTTTCTTTGTATAGCCAGTTGGCATCAACTCCAATGATTTTCAAAGAACACAGTACAACATTGCGACTTCTTCCTTCTCCTGTACAAGACCTGGGTCAGAAAAGAATAGGTGCAGGTGAGTTTGTACTGAAGTAAAAATGTGATTAGAGCTTCTTGCAGCTCTCTAAGGGAGAGAGTTTTATGTTTCATTATTACAACTGCCAGTTAATAATGCAAGACATAATTATTATATCAGTGTTAAATGATAAAAAGCCCTTGGTACTAAGTCATCTAATGTATTATAAATTACAAAAACTACAATTATAATTCATTATAACGGGACCCAGTTTTGTAATGAGTTCTGATTGGATCCATACGTGCAAACTCATTGCAGGATTTGGATGTGATTCCTAGTTTTTTAATTGCCATTTATATCAGCAATATATACGTTTGAAGTTGCTACTTACTAATTTATGAATAGGCTAAAAAAGTTAGCTGGCTTGGGGTAAGTAGAAGAAATCCATGGTAGGTCTCCAGTGCAGTGCTTGTGGATACTCATTAATCTTTCTAATGAAGACATGTAAATAGTTGTCTTGTTTGTCGCTGCTTTAATCAAATTGTGATAGAAAGCTTCCATAGTCATCTTCAGTATATGTCAGCCTTAAAAAGGAGGAGTTATCCTGTTACAGAGACTTGTTCTCTTTAGACTGCACCTCATTATCTTCACCACAGTAAGGTTGCAGACCCACATGATTCCTCTGAGGTAATTTACTTCAGATTTTACCCTGAAGTAAAATTATACCAATGTTTAGAGTGGATACATGACCAGTTATTCACTGATATCTGTCCACCGTATGCACTATTAAAGTATGGAGCCAACTGCGTGATTACTACTGAATAGTTTAGCCCTGACTTAACTCTATAACAGAAGATTGCAAGGTACAGGCCAGAACTGGCCTGCAGAGCCCTATCACCCAGCTTGTGTACTGTCTGAGGGTCTGAGACTAGCCCTACATGTCATATGCAGTCTCTGCTGGACCCAGCCCTACATGCTGCTTGTGGTACACAGAGCCCATCTGGTACAGACTACATGTCCCATAAGGTTGAGAGCTGGTAATCGCTGTATGTAGTACCTACACCAGACTGGCCCTGCATGCTGGATCTGGGGCCAGTCTGATTCAGGCTGAGACACCAGCCATGTGCGGCAGATCCAGAGTACAGTTTTGTAATGCCAGGCTGGGCCAGCAAGTGCTGAATGTGAGGTGCAGGACTGGTCTGAGGCATGCGCTGCATGCAGCACCCACACTGGCCCAGCCATGCACACCAGATCTGGGGCTGGTCCAAATCAGGCCCATAGACCAGCCCCATGCGCTAGATCAAGGGTGAGCAAAAAATGGCCCGCGGGCCGGATCCGGGCTGCGAGGCCATTCTAGCCGGCCCGCGGGACCCCTAAAAAATTTAGAAAATGAATATTTATCTGCCCTTGGTTCCTGTCAAAAATGACAGGAACCAAGGGCAGTAGGACCCAGGGAAAGCCCGGTGGGCTCCCACAACAACAGGACCTGCCCGGCCCCACCCCCAGCCAGAAGCCCCAGCAGGGGCTTCTGGCCCAGGACCACATGGCTGCCCCAGCTGGAACCTCAGGTAAGGGAGGAGGTGGGGAAGGGCAGGGGAGGACCCCAGAGGAAAAGTGGCCCAGGGAAAAGCTGAGCACAGGGGCGGGGGAAAAGGGGCCCCTCGTCCGCCCCATGGCCGGTGCCCTGTGCTGCAGCCACTCGCAGCCCATGTAGGAATGCCTGTGCCTGCTCCCGACAGCTCCGTGCCGG